AGGGGAGTGAGGCTGGGTAGGGTGGCAGAAAACCGGTCTGTGAGAGCCAAACTGGTTGAGGGGATCTGTGTTAAGCTGCTCTGGTGGGAGCGTTGAAGAAGCAGAAGAGATTGGGAGACCGTCTGCTCGGGCTATGCTCGGTTTTAATTAGGGTTAATTGGAGCTAATGCTTTGTAGGCTCTGGCCAAAAATCCCCACGATGGTTGTTCTGCATCCCCAGCGCCCCTGTGAGGAGGCTCGTTGGCGAGTTCTGAGATGCTCAGCTGTTCTCTGGTGCAGGTTGCAGCCTGGCTGGTGTTTCTGTGCCTGTGTAAATCAAACGTGCTGCAATTACGGTTTACCAGAAAGTCTCCTATTCCTCAATTAGTATATTGCTCAATAGCTGCTGCGCAATGCTCCCCCAACAATGTGTTGCTGGAGTTTCCTGACTTTGGGACCCCATATCTCTGTTGCCCATAGAATCACAGAATGGCTCTGCCTATAAAAAGACCTTTATAGGTCATCTAGTCCACCCCCCCCCGCAGTGCGCAGGGACATCTTTAGCTAGGTACCTTCTCCAAAGTCACATCTGCCTGTTGACCTCAGATTACCAGGTACAGAGGAAGTACAGGTATATGTGAATTTCTGGGAACTGGCTGGGAGAGAAAGGTGAGCTGAGCCCAAGCTTGGGATAAAGGAGGGGAGCATCAGCGTTATAAATGTATGGTGAGAAGGGATCTGACATGTATTGCCAGCCAGGTGGGGAGGGAAGAAATACTCATTAAAAAAAATAATAAAAATTAGGGGGCAATGTATCAGCTCAGGCAACCTCAGCTGTTGTGAATAGTTAATATCCCTTGGTACTTGCCAGCTTGCAAAAGTGGTAAGCTTCCTGCTGGGTTCCCTGTTCAAAGGGCAGCTGGGGAAAAACAACAAGTGCTGCAGTGGCACAGCCTTTGCCTCTCTGGGAGCAGAGCTTTCCCTTTAACTCTGCTCCAGACCATCTTCATGGGGTCCAGTGATTTTTCTCAGCAACTTTGTCATGAACTTTGTGGCTTTGCACTGTATCCATTTCATAAGACTGTGTTGCCTTAGGGCTCCTGCAAATGGAATGGGGACTCAGACTTCTTTAAAGTGTCTTTTCCTTGCTTGTTGCATAGGTGTTGAGCTGCTTCATTGACCTCCAGGGTTGTGCTTGGGTGGCAGCGCTCCCTGGGACATCCTTGCATGGTGCCTGGGGCTGGCTTGCCACCCAACATCACCAGAGCCATTTTCTTCTTCTCTCAAGGGAGGGTGTGAAGCACCCTGTGTGCTACAGCTGCAGGCATGCAGGAACAGAGATGTTGGGGTGTCCTCCTTTAGCCCTCTGGTTAAAGGTGACACAGCTGCTGGCTGTGTCACCCCATGTGTCTCGGTCAGAGCATTTTCAGTGCTTGGCCAGGCTATTCAAGGGACCCCGTCACACCTCTGCATTTTACTCACTCCCACACAGAGCAACACTCCTTGCTCATTTCCAGTCTCATGTTCTCTTCTTTCTGCCTGTCTGTGGACTAAATTTGGATAGCGAGTGGGCAGAGCGCTTTTCTTTAAATGACATCTGAAGAAACTCAGAATTATTTTCTTTACCTCTCTTCCTTTTTTAATCAGACAGAGTCAAAGGAAAACTATTTATTTTTTTTCCCCTTCCTGATGAGTGACTGTGATTTCAAAAGTGTTTTTTAAGCCATTGGCTAATGGAATACATAAAAGCACTGCTGCCAGTGTGTTTTGCCCAGCTTATATGGACAAGTTTGGTGATGAGCTGTACGCAGCCGCTCTGAGAAGCAGGGTATGTCCTTCCTGATGCTTATGTTATAAAAGCAGGGTTGGGCTTTTCTGGAGAAATGCTACTATTTTCCATCCATGCTTAGGAGACCCCTTGGTGGCTCTCTGTGGTGAAAATTCAACAGGGACCTCACTGCATCTTATTTAATACTCATTTCCTCTCTTGTCACACATGAGAGCAAACCTGCCAGATGAGATTCCAGAGTGGTAGTAGAGGGGAGAGCTTAAATTGCTGCTAAATACTGGCAGATCCTGTTATCCAAAGCTGCTTTACAAAACAAGGATGCCTGTGGAGAGGGAGTTTGTGGTTAGACAAATTACATCAAAACAATATGTGTTGCACTTTAGGGTATGCAATCTAACTCAATACAGGGGAAAGGGGGGCAGAAGGGTTTTTCTTAAAGCTAGAAAATTCAAGTTGGCATCAAATGCCAAAGGAGACAAGATGACATCTCAGACTTGCTAAAGCTGTTAATGAACCTCTTACTGCTATGGCTGTGGCTTCGGTTGTAGATTGTGCAGCTGATGGAGGCAGGTCCCCATGTGAGTGAGCTTAAGAGCTGCTCTTGTGGACCCTGCTCCTTTTGCAGACTGAGGATTGGTCTCAAAGCCTGTTTGGCATCTGATGTTGTTTTAGATTGGAAATGCCCATTTGAAAGGATAAGAAATCAGAAGAAGAAAGACAGAAGATAACTTTTTTTTTAAATCTACAAGTGCTCCTCTTTGTAATATTAGTAAGTAAAGCAATGGATTCAGACTCTGAGCAGTCAGAGGAAACTTAGAAGCAGCTAACTGAAATAAATTCAAATTAAAAAAAAAATTGTCTTTCATTTCCTATTCTTCCTGTTTGTTAGTGTGCACATTGCCAAGGCCTGGCCAAAGGCTGCTTGGTCCTGGGCAGGCAGAACAGCTGATGTGAATCCTCTGAGCAGCTCAAGGTAGTGATTGCCATAGTGAGGACCTGGTGTGAGTACATGGAGCATGGCTGGGGAGGGACCTGCTGTGTGGAAAAGATATGGCATGAGGAAGGAGAGGAGCAGGGGTGGACAGAGCAGTGTGTGGGTGGAAGAGTCTAACTAGACCTGCTAGAGGTGCTCTAATGGCTTGTAGGTCTCTGCCTTTGGTGTCCCTTTCCCTGCCAGGGCTCAGTGGTGGGAGCAAGGCTGTAGTATCCAAATGAGCTGTCTCAGGCAGGCTGCACATTAAGGTGTCTATCTGAGGGTCACTCCATGTTCCAGCTGGACAACATCATGCCTGGAGCTTCACAAGGTAGCCAACTGGGATGGCCGTATCTCCCCCAACCATTACCTTGTAGGCTTGCTGGAGCTTGCTCTTGCTGCTGCACAGCCTTACCTTGACCACTTGATGTGTTTTACTGTTGTGGCTGCAGTGAAAACAATGCTGGGTTTGGAAAGAGCATGTCGGACAGGCACAGTTTGATTAAATCCTCCTTTGCCTCTTCCAGCCCCAAACCACCACCCCCTGAGGGTGTGAAGTCCAACCCCTCCAAGCGGCATAGAGACAGACTCAACCAGGAACTGAACAAGCTGACTGGCTTGCTGCCCTTCCCCGAAGATGTGTGCACCAGGCTCGATAAACTCTCCATTCTACGGCTCGCTGTTGGGTACCTGAAGGTGAAGAGCTACTTGATGGGTGAGTGTCCATGTTGGAAGGGGTGAAAAAGCTCCTGGGGTCAATCCCCACCATATGGCCTACATCCCACCCCAAGCCATGTCTGCCTTGGGATGGAGGGTTGTGTCTCCTGAAGATAGGATGATGAGTTGTGGTATCAGACCCTTGTTTGTTGAAACGTCAGTGTTGTATCTTTAGCTGAGGTTCTGGCCTGAAAATGCCCTGGAGAACTGGGCAAGAAAGTGCCACATCTCCAGAAACGTGAAGAAATTGGTGATGGTTACTGAGAGGTTCTATGCTCAAGGGACATCTGTTCCTCAGGCCTTTTGCTGCAATTACACAGATTTTATCCATGTCCCCTCTGGAAGGAATCCCCTTCATTTTTGGATGCTGCACACCCAAACCTGATGCTCTTCAGTCAGTAATAGGTGGTTAGTTTCTTGGAAAAGCAGCATCCTTGGGAAAGTGAAACCATGTAGCTGGGTCTTGGGAACTGAGTCACAGAGGTGGAAAGCAGGCAGGTGAGTGATTTGGGAGAGGTTGTGGGGGTGTTGGGAGCAGAAGACCCTGGCTCCATTACTTTCAGAGGGGATATCCAGCACAGAAACAACACCATGGCTGGAGGAGAGCAGCTTAGGTCCTCGCCCAGCAGCTGAGACCTCTTGCAAAGTTTCTCCATCTACTTCTCACTAGCAGCAATTCTACCCCTCCTTTCTGTCCAGAAACCCTGCTGTGTGAGGGTGGTGAAAAAGGGAGCAGTAGGTAAAACAGTGTGTCTTGCTAAACGTCAACATTTCCCTCATCTAACCAGATCTGCTCTTTATAATTAAATTAAATTGAAAATCTCTGGGATCTATGGGTGGCTGTCTCTCCTGGACAGGCAGGAGTCGGAGGTGTTGCACAGGACTGCTCTGCTTACTGAGGTTGGCAGGTTAGACAAGACTGCTCCTAAGGCCCTTGTTTGGTATCTCGTTAGCTCATTTTTCTCCCCTTTCTTCCTTGAGGGTGCTGGGTAGTCTCATATATTGGTGGTTTACTGCTGTGTTTGCCACCTGGGCCCTGTTGGGCTCAGCTGTGGTGGGTCAATTATACTTTTCTAATGAGCCTTCCTAGGAGACTGAGGGTGATGCCTCATACCCAGAGACCACCATTTGTTTTTGTGGGGTGGAGGCTTGAGCTGATATGCCTGGAAAACCATTCTTCTTGCATTTGCCTCTCTGCAGCCTTGCTGCTGCTGTGGAGACCTGCTGTTGGTGCAGGGCAGCAACCACAGTGGGAGAGTGATTGTGGCTGGACATTGCTGCTACTTGGCTTCTGCTTTTATGACCTGGGGCTTTTAGGTGGTTCCCCCCGCCCTCTGTGTGCATATAGCTCCTTCTTCCTGCCTACAGGTCACAGCAGTGATTGCCCTCTGGATTTTCAGCAGTCGTTGATGTATCTGAGATAGTTACTGCTGGTAAAAATACTTGTGTTGAGGCTCAAGAGTTTTTCTGCAGACATTGGGTGTGAGGAGTAGAGTCCCTTATAGACATTATAATATCACCTGATGTGGTGCTGCCTTCAGTGAGCAAAAAAAAAAATACTGCAAGGAGGAGGCCAGCTGAGCTACCCTGGGTGCACAGACCTGCTGGCCACCCTCTTGCCCCAGCTGTGGGTCGGGTATGCTTTGTTCTCATACCATACTCTGCTGAGGAGCCTCTCCCAGGCCCAGGAATTTTGGATGGTTCAGCTCCTGCTCTGAAGCTGCAGGTCACACATGAGGTTTCAATGGTGGGATCTCTCTGGCAGAGCTGGTTTCTCAGGTGGGAACCAGAGGAACTCCCTCCTGTTCATCAAACTTCCATCCCTGGGGCAGTGTTGGAGCATCACAACAGTGTGTTACCTCTGCAAAGAACTCAGGGGTGGCTGGTGGACCACACAGTGTGGCTGTGAGTGTGGTGGACCCTTCTTCTTGCTCTGGAAGTGGCTGTTTGGCCCCAGGTGCTGGCCTGACCTCTCTTGTGACGTTAGCTGTTCCCTGAGCAGCTCTGGCACATATTCCTCAGCATTGTCAGCTGCTGAAGGCTTTGCTGAGCCTGTGCTGGTACTGGCTGACTGTGGCTGTGTTAGAAAGGCTGTTACCCAGGAGGTCCTTCCTTGGAGCAGGACCCAGAAGGACATGATGAGGGTGTGAAGAGGCACCTTGCTGCCTTCCTTTGCACAAGAAGAGTGATTACTGCATGCACAGCACTGGAAGTGCTTTGGATGCTGTTGGGCTCCTCAAAGGCAAAGTTGGACTGAGAGCAAGCCTTGCTGAGTGTCTCTTCCTCAGCTGTCTGGTTTTTAGGAGGCAAACCTGGGAAAAATAGGATTCATTTCCCGCCTGTGTATGAGATGATGGTGAGTGGGTAGCTGGGAAGGAAGGGAGCCTGATGGCAAGGTGTGATGTTTTGGGGATGCAACAGGTCCTTCTGTCCAAGGTGGTGCTGGCACTGCATGAACCACCGCTGCTTTCTCTATTGATGCTCATAAAAAGGCAGCTGTCAGCCCTCCTTATAGATACAGTTGGACTCTCCAGCACTCAGCAAGTGTCTGGGCTAAGAGGGGAAAATGAGGGTGCAGAGCCCTGCTCGGGGGGTATTCACCATGCACCCAGCAGGACACAAACTGCAGGCTGCAGTGCAAATAAAGCCTGCAAGTCTGCCAGGGATTGCTTTCATAACCTGCTTACAAGAACAGTTGCTCAAATGCTGCGGAGCAGTGCTTGAGGACTGGCGTGACTCCTGCAGCTAGGGGAGGCATGGGTTGGTGTGTGTGTGTGCATGGCATGGAGGGGGGGTCAGGACGTATGGACAGGACTGTGTTTCATCTCCAATGTCTTGGGCTCAAAGTGATCGGTGATGGACCCTGACTAGGGCAGGAAGCCATCAACATCTTTCTATACTTAAAGGCTGCTTATCACATCTCCCCTCCAAACTGAATAAACTTGGCTCCCTTAGCTTTTGCCCCATGCTTGGTTTATAACCTGTCCCTTGGGGGTCTTCCTGGACCCCTTTTCAGCTGGGGATCCCCAGGAGGAGACCCCTGTGCCAAGCTCTCCAGCTGGAATCCCTGCCTCCAAGCAGGAGCAGTTTCCAGTGGATGTGCTCACCATGTGCTTCCCAGTGTGAGAACTGCTTTGGAGAAGCAGTCATCATTGCATGGACTCGTGTACAGTGGCAGCCTTGTCCCCTCTTTGAAGGTCCGTTCTGCCAGGCCAATTACTCCCATTTGGCCAGTGTGCTTTTGATTTCCACCCCCTCCCTTGCTTTGCCCGTGTCTGCCCTGAAGTTCATCTTGTTTGACTTTAGATCATCCCACTGATTCATCAAGGTCAACCTCAGTTCGAGCCCTGCCTGATGAAGACCCATGTCATCTGCAAGTCACGGCAGCCTGCTTGTGGTGTATCACATCATGTGTTTTGGGGGAAAACGTTGCCCTTGTGCTGTGCTTTCTGGTTGAGTTTTGCTGTCATCTGCTTTCTGCTTCATGCAGTCTCCTCTCCTGAAGCCGGAGAGCATCCCTGTCCTCTGCTGCCTCAGCCTCTCTCCATCAGCAGCTCAAGGCCATTGCTTTGTCTCCAGGCAGCTTTAATTGATGCCATATTGATAAAGATTTCCTCATTTCAAGCACTTCTGTCAAGTCTGGGCACTTGCCCTTTCTCCTAGGAAAAAGGTTAATAGAGTCTATGTGAAGCCAAAGTACATGGTTATTACCAGTCTGGCAGGGTGATGTATGCCGTCCCCGGGCTATCACAGGCTAAAAGTAAAAATCCCATGTACTGCTAGAGATGGTTCTTTCAAGAAATGTAGCATGTGCTGAAAAGCCGATCCAAGGCTCTGCGTTCTCTTGCCTTCGTGTCTTTAGAGCAGATATTCAAGTCTTTGGGGCAGCAGATAGGCTGTTGTGAAAGGCAAGAGGAATTAGCTGCTGCCCACCATTTACAGTCCTTCTGCTAGCCCTCCCTCACTGCTTTGTCTCCTGATGCATGTACAGCTCAACTGTCCCTGTGTTACTTCTCCATAATGATTTTTTTTTCCTCACTGTCGCCTTCTTTGGAGTGTGAGGAAGAGCTGGGTCGGCACACCAAGGGGGATGGCCAAGGTGAGGCCCAGCTATGAGAGCTGTGAGTCAGCAGCAGGTACACAGGAGCTTCTGCATCTCCCCCTCTCCTCTGGAGAGGATGATGGTTATCATGATTTATGCTTGAGTTCTGCAATTGGATAAGCAGGCAGCAGGATCACAGCTGCAAGCTCTCAAGGATTTAATTTGCAAAAGCTGAAAGAAAAGTGCTTTTGGGATTTGAACTTGATTCTGGACTATTGGGCTGTTTGGAAACCAGGAGATGCTATTGCAGGGTAACGACTCATTGGATCATCTTTTAAATCTGCTTTGCTCTTAAATGTTCTCTTTACTGTCTGTGGTTTAACAAGAAACCAGGAAAACTTGTATTTGCTGGAAATGGCAATCTTCAGGGATTTAGAGGAAAGCTCTTAAAGCTCCATGCCTCCATAGGCTCATTTGGGGCATATACACATCTGCTGTAACTTGTCTGTCCCCTGGTGCAAGTGCTGTGGATGTTGCACAGCTTTCTTCTGCCTGGTATCACAGTCCTTCCTGTGCAAAGTAAAAAGAAAAAGCCACAAAAAAACCCCAACAAAAACAGAAACCCCAACAAAACAAACAAACAAAAACCCCACCTAAACCAAAACAACATAAATTTGGCATCAGAGTTTGGAGTTGGGTGTTCGGGGAAATCTGGATTGGCCAGGATTGTCAGCTCCTGAACAGTTCCTTCCCCTAGGGTCAGGTGGGACTAGACTTTGAGGACAGTTGCTAAAATCTCAGGGTGTATTTTAGCCAAGCTCTTTTACAGTACAAAAGTAGGCAGGATTGGTCTCCTTGCTCTCCTAGGACCAGCATGATGGTTGCACAAACCACTGTTGGTGAAGCTGAAGGCAGTACTGTCTCAGGCCTGGCATATGGCAGATGAGTGTCTCAAG